GTAGCTGTGCTCTAACCTCCAGAGTGGTGAAATATGTTGTTCTCGATGATGTGAAATGAGTGGATCCGGCGCGTGTCAATGCACACGGGATTCTCGCAAGTTTCTTGCAGCCTCGCCGTTTCTAGCGATGAAGCCCGACGACGGCTCGAGAGCTGCGTTGATGTTGTTGCCCAGCTACAAGTTGACATGGACGACAGACCGTGCACAGAGGTCAGAGGAAGATGCGGACAATTGGCAAATGAGGGCGGGCGGGAAGCTGCAGAACGGGCGCGTTGCTGAGGGGCGGTACGTAAGAGCCCGCAAGTAGAACTTTGGTTCAGGAAGGCCGGCCTCATGGCCACACGCCTTGCATCCCTCCATTCTCTCCCCGGCTACCCTCGCCATATTAAGTCGGAACTTGCCCCGGATCGCGTCCTCCCTCCTCCGCTCTCTGCCCGACCACCATGACCAGCCGTCACCGGACGACGAGCTCTTCACGCAAGGACAGCTATGGTCTATGGCGGCCCAGTGACTCCGACTCTGACCACCCCCGTCAGACAATGGCCAACACTCAGCGACATAACGTAGATCAGGCGGGCGTCGCGGACGGACACCGAAAACACCACAGCTCTCGACGAGGTGACGCTGCGGACTTGGTTGATCCCTCTGCATCATACTCTCGTTCCCGTACCAAATCCTCCAGCAAGGACAGATCATCTGCGGCACAGCCCTATTCATTCTATGCGGTACCTCCATCACCTAGTCCTTCCGTGCAGTATCAGTCTCAGGACGGGTACGACCTACGGGCGTATTTGAAGAGGAAGACAGAGAAGCGCAGCCCACGATCTCACGAGAAAGTCCTCGCTGGCGATGAGGTCAAGCCTTCACGCTCTGGAAATCATAGTAGCAGCCGATACGCCTATCCGACCACAGCAACGTATGCATATCCTATCGCTCCATCGCAACCCTACACCGTTCCTTCCACGCAAGCTACCCGCGACCCTACTTCGTCTTCGAGGCACCACCGAGACCGAGACAAGGACAGAGAGAAGGCCAACAGTCGTGATCCAGAGAAGGTTAGAACAAGGGAACACCTCACGGAAAAGGGTGAGGACCGAGAGAGGCGGAAGAGGAAAGAGAAGGATGGAGAGAAGGAGCGATCGTCGAAGGACAAGGAACGGCGCCGGGAGAAGGACAAGCGTAAGGACCGCGAGGCTCAACTTGTGACTGAACAGCGACCAACCGATGCTACGAGCGTATATCAAGCATACGCCCAATCCTCCACGGCAATGCAGAGGTCGATGGAGAGGGACCCTGCGCCTCCACAAGTACGTCTCCATGACACTCTAAATGAACTCGCACTCGTGATTCATATCTCGACGTGTCGTAGGAGTACACTCGTCAACCCTCGTCGCAACCCTATCCCACTGCGCACACCGCCGCTCCGACCCCAGCAACTGCACCATGGGCTGGTCTGACATCCGCTGGGCGTGGAGTTCCTGCCTCTGTACCGGACCCAACATACCCATATGCGTCCGACAAGGACGACCCGCCCCTCCCAATACCTCCCCCGGAGCGCCGCCGCGAGAGAACATCTTCCAAGCCTTCACGTTCTCATCGGCATAAAGTCACTTCACAACAAGCCGGTCAAGACTCGGGCATCTCAAGCAGCGAACAAGAGCACTCTGTCATGGAAAGAGTGAGTCTGACATTTGTGACTCGTGCATTAATGGATCAAGCTGAATGTTCCCAAGGCGCGCACCACCGATAGGCACTATGTTAGTCGGGAACAGGCGAGTCTACTTCAACGTGGGTATTCCTCCGGACCGTCGGGTAGCGAAAATGAAAGAGCTCCCACTGTCCAGAAGGAGCGTGTACGTGTTATACTATATTTATCCCTGCTTCCATGACTGACTGATAATGTAGCACAAGCACAAGACGCATGGCGAATCGTCTCGACACAAATCGAAACCCTCCACTGCTGATGTTCAGCATGGCGCCGGCCCCACCACGAGCCAGGAGATCGCCAACGCTTGGTACCAGCAGGTAGGTTTCGGATACTTAGCAGACATAAGTACCACACACTCATATCAGTGCGAATAGCATTCGGGTTCAAAGGCGTCTGGACCGGCACCTGGTGTCTCTGCTCAACAAACCGCGACTGGCATCTCTACATCGGCCCTGCCTGCACACTCGTCAGTGCAACCATCAGGCAAGCCTACCTCATCCGTAGGTCTGACTACATCTCAACGTTCTGCACCACGAATAGTCAGTATTCGCGCTGGGCAGGGTCCGGCCGATCCTCAATTTGTGCCCCCAAAGATTCATTCGGGTACGACGCCTTCTCATCAACCAGAACCACTCCCTGCGCAGTATCATCAGTCCTCGAGCTCTCGAGCTCATGATCCTTCGCTGCAACACATTTCGCATGCGCAGACAAATGGTTACGGCGAAGCTACTGCGTATCATCAGGCAGTCAACGGCACCACGCATGTCGGTCATCTAGCAATCCCGGATGTTGTAGTGCGACCACCGTCAACAGCGCCTGCGCCGCTTGACCCGTACACTCCACGTACAGTGCATGCGGGAGGAAAATCTTCAGGGCAGCTACACGTTCCGGATTCTCGAGCACGTTCAACGCCGGCGCACGTCACACCAACGACGTCGTACTCACCAGCGACCCATGCTCCTGCGCAATTCGGAGATGTCGAGCCACACCGTACAACGGCACATACGAAGGTTCCATCTCACGACTTGCCAAGCAGGTTCCCCGTATACGAGGACGCAACTGCTACACGATCTTCTGGGGCAATACAGCCTTCCAATGCGTCACCAAGGAGGGGTCTGACGTATCCTGGTGCTTCCGCTCCTCCGCCTGTGTCCACCGTACACACGAATCCCTCGAATTACGCTGGTAACGGGAGCTATGATCCACGCTCTCCAAAGCCGCCCTCACTATCTACGATCACGCCCGACACGTCCCGGCTGCAGCCATACATGTCTGGTTCACCTGCCGTAGTTGCCAATGCGGTCTCAGCTGGTTCCTCTGGTAACACTCCCCGACACTCTCCGTCTACACGTCTGCATTCTCACCGTAATGGTTCTAATGACACGATCACCCACGCTCCACCGACAAAACCCTCTCCTAGTGGCTCCTCGCAACAACAGCTGCCGCACCGTACTAGTGCGGCTAATCTTCAACCTTACGCCTCTTCACGACTCGATAGCACCTCTCGCCAGCCTAATGCATCCCCCGCATACCCTGACATCGCTCGATACCGCTCTCCTGCTCCTTCGGGATACCCTAATGCAAACGCGTCCTCATCTGCAAACAATGTAGCCCCACCTGGTCACTCGCAAGCCTACAGCACCCAAACCCCCATAACGTCTTATGACACTCAATACGGTCGATCAGCCAATGCTTCGACCTCGGCTGGCTACGCAGTCCCCCTCCAGACACACGGTCGTGCGGCCCAATCACTTGATTATGGGATTCGTTCACCCGATCCTGTCACTACCACCTTGACGTCGTCCAATGGTGCACCTATATCCACTCAGCGCGTTCCTCCGCGCTCTGCGCCCTCCCCCGCTCCGACCGTGCGACCCCCACGACTTGCTACTGTGTCGTCGCCCTCGGCGAAGGTGCCTGCACCGTTGCACTCCGCGCCACCTGTCCCTACTCGTAATCAGTCGTATCCTGCTCCCGGACCTAACCACACAGCCTCGACATCCTTCCCCAGTGCCCACTCCCGTACCGTGTCCGACCCGCAGTATGCCGGCAGGGCGCCCAGTGGCTATGCTTCCGCAAGTCTCCCGACGCGTGGATCGTCCAGACCCCCTCCTTCCGTTGCCCAAGGCGACGTCCTCCTCACCCCCTCCTCGCTTGCACCATCGATGCTTCCTCAGTCTGCGCCACCCGTGCCGCTCAGTCGCACGACATCAAAGAACACCGTCAAAGAGAAGGAGAAGAAGAAAGGTTTCTTCGGTCTCAGTCTCTTCCGTTCCCGCTCCTCTCCACCGAAGGAGCGTGAGGTGGATGCACCGCTTCCGTCAGCAGCGATCAGGGAGAAGCGCGAACGCAACAATTCGCAGCCGAGCCAGCCACAGGCTTACATGCAGTCATCGAACGCCACCACTAAGCCTTCAGCTGCGCAGCCGGCGGCTCAAGTTGCGATGGCTGCCGCAGTGTCGATCCCGACGCCATCCCAGCATATTCGAGGCCAGAGTACTAGCGCCGTCCCGATCGCCTCCCCCACGCCCGTTGCAGCTGGCCAGCGCGCGCCCAATGGGAAGATGTTCACGCCCTTCCGTCTGTTGTCTCGGCGTCACCGCACCGTATCTACTGCATCCGTTGACGCGGTGGATGGCACGGTTGTGAGTATCAGTGGCTTAGTGGCTTGGGAATGACTTAGTGGCTTGGGAATGAACCAGGAACTGATTGAATCCTCTTGCAGCTCACCGCAATGCTGACGGGCGGCGACTCTACGAGGAGTTCCACGGCGGGGCGTCCTTCTCCGCCTCTCGGGCTCCGTGATCCCCTGACCGCGGCGCAGGAGTGGCGTAATAAGGAGGAGAACGAGCAGCAGGGTCGCGGCACGCTGCGCAGGCGACGGCCCGGCGTCACATTCGATGTCGGCGAGGAGGTTCCGGACGAAGGGCGCGGGCCTATGCAGAAGTCGTTCCGCCAGAACGTTCAGCAGCTGCAGCATACGATGGCGGCTCAGGCGCACTTACCTGTGAGGCAAGCAACCGCTTGATGCAGTGGCTATTGCAGCGCGTTTCTTGGTCGGTGGGTCATGCCCTTCTGCATCTATGGGTACACAGTTGCTATGCCGTCTGACCATGCACCTGCTATGTACATGTATCTATATTTTCGTCCTGTCGTCTCTATCACAGGCTGTATCATATCATTATTGTAATCTGGAAACGAAGTGCGATTGGTTGCGTATGTCGTGAGTCCTGCACACACTGCACAACTGTGACATGAGCATGAGATGACGACCAAAAGGGGCAGTAAAAGTTGGTTCGACCCGGGTTCGAACCGGAGACCTCCTGTGCCCTCAGCTTCGCAGTGTGAGACAGACGTGATAACCAACTACACCATCGAACCATGCACATCCAGCTTAAACAATACCACTGAGCGTATGCGACCAGGGGCCAGAACGCTTGGCCCACCTCGATCGTAACTCATGCATTAGACACTTTCAGCAACGCCCAAATGTGCTTTTCGTCCCGATGATGGGAGCTCCACCGGGCGTGACGGGCGCTCAGATCTGTGGGGGCCGTGACAGAGGGGCTCAGCCTGCTGGGTTAACTCCACCCTCAGAGAAAGCTCTCGCTGGCGGCGTTGCACTGGCAAGGGGCTCCACTGTCATGTCACCTGTGACCCATCTCCAGTCACATCAAAACCGGGCCCCAAGGCTCCATGATTCGCCCGGAGAGCTCGCTGCTGAAAGTGTCTATTGAAATGGATGCTCTGCCTGATGAGGGACCTCTCGGTCAATGACCCCATGTGAGTTGCACCGTCACGGTGACCGGTTGACCTGCCAGCCTGGAGCTGCCAGTGGAGAGACACTGGCACTACACCATGACAAGCCATGGCGTGAATTTTGGCCATCGGCCACTTGCCAACCACTACGTACAAACCCATAGAGGTCCGAAGATATAATTGTGGGTGGACATGCATTGAATGGCTAGTGTAGCCAGTGTGCAGTTCTCTCCACTGGCAGCTCCAGGCTGCAGCTGGCAGGTCAACCGGTCACCGTGACGGTGCAACTCAGATGGGCGAGAGATCCCTCACCAGGTATATGCGAACAGAGCATCCATTTGGATGTATGAGCTGTCCTATCATGCTTGTTTTGGAAGCATCCACTTTAACCTCTTGCTGCATTCAAACCTTTATTGAGCGTGGGGGCAGGCCACACAGGAATAGATGGTCGCGGAGATGTCGATCTGCGTCACCCGCGGCACACGGTGTGGATAATACCAGTCGTGTCAATGGAGAGACATCAGCGTCGTTGGTTGCTGCTGCCTAAGTACGCACTGCTGGCGGGGGAGCAGTAATAACCAGGGTTTTATCTTGCCGGCGGAGAGACAACCGTGACGTTCAGAGAAATTGAAATGATCACTGTGCAGTAGATAGACGCCGGAGGAGGTGGCTGCGCGCCGAGCGTTGCGCTGAGAAGAGCCTTGTCCAGTCTTCCTTTCCTCCTCTCTTTCTCCGCCCACCAGCACCCTTCCTTGTCCGTCGTAGCCTCGCAGAGGCACTACTCATCGCCCAAGATGATGACGCCTATGCGTTACGTGGTATTGGTGCTGGTCATCATTGTGAGTCCTCCCTGCATGTCTTCACCGACCCGTTGCGGTATTGACAGAGACACGTAGATCAGTTTGCACTTCATCCTCTCCTTCTCCCATGAAGAATATGGTCGCGCAACCTCTTTGTCGCACATCTCCGAGCAGTTCGCAGGCTCCAAGGGTCACCCGCCATACCAAGATGGTGTTCCAGAAGACCGCTATGTTCCCCCTCCAGCCCCCGTCCAGTCCCGCAAGGCCAACGCAACTTTCGTCTTCCTTGCACGCAACGGAGATCTCAATGGGGTTGTGGTCAGCATGAAACAAGTAGGCAAGTGGGTTCCTATTATCTCCTTGTTGCGATATCGACCTCTGTCTCGTAGAGGACCGCTTCAACAAGGAATTCCAGTATCCCTACGTCTTCCTGAACGAGGAACCCTTCTCCGACGAGTTCAAGGAGTACGTACTCAGTTGGCTTGCTGGCGCCTGCCAACGTATTCACCCGCGCATCTTGCAGTCGAGTGCAGACTCTCACTGACGCGAAGATCGAGTTCGGTCTCATTCCAAAGGAGCATTGGTTCCAGCCCTCCTGGATCGACGAGCAACGCGCATCTGCGGCTCGGCAGGACATGGTTGACCACAATGTCATCTACGGAGGTGCGCTCCTCCAACGTCCGCATGATGCTGTGTATTGACTTCGGAAACAGGCAGTGTTCCCTACCGGAACATGTGCAGGTTCAACTCTGGCGTGCGTGTCACTTCATCATGCGAGTCTATGATATAATCCTCAATGTTACGCAGTTCTTCTACCGGCACCCGCTTCTCAGCAAGTACAAGTATTACTGGCGCGTCGAGTGCGTATCCACCCTACGTCCCAAGGGTCACTTCTCACAGCATTCAACAGGCCTGACGTCACTTTCTTCTGTGACATTCACTACGATGTATTGCATTACCATCCTTCCAAGGCGTCCTAGGGCTGACCCATATCCTCTAGCCTCTGCTGCTCATGCAAGACCAGAAGAAGGTTTACGGCTTCACCGTCTCCCTATACGAATATCCTGCGACTATCCCTACCCTCTGGAATACAGTGAAAGGTGGGGGTAACTCGACGATGAACGGATGAAATGCGACTAACAAGGGGGATACATAGAATTCATCAACAGCAACCCAAACCTTTTGGCAAAGGATAACGCCATGTCCTTCATTTCCGACGATGGGGGCGAGACGTACAACAACTGCCACTGTAAGGACTGTCCTTGACTTCCTTTTGCACGCCCTGACTCATAACCTCTGCAGTCTGGAGCAATTTCGAGATCGGCGACCTGGATTTCTGGAGAGGCGAAGCGTACTCGAAGTTCTTCGACTTCCTCGACGAAAAGGGCGGTTTCTACTACGAGGTGCGAATCCCGCTCGCATAATCTGTCAATCAGCCCATCTGTCTAACGATTCGCCCTGTAGCGATGGGGAGACGCACCCGTGCACAGCATCGGTGCTGCGCTGTTCGCGAAGAAGGACCAGATTCACTTCTTCAACGATATTGGTTCGTGACCCTCGTTTGTTCTTTCATATCCACATCACTGACGACCGTCTTACAGGATACCGGCACAACCCATTCCAGCACTGCCCTCAGGGTGAGCTGCACAAGAAGGGCAAATGCTGGTGTAACCCCAAAGAGAACTTCGGTGCGTCTCATCTCATGTCTTTGCGTACTCTTCCTAACACATTCTCCCAGACTACGAGTGGTACAGCTGCCTGAAGCGCTACGATGCTCTGTTCACGTGAAGTCGAGCTAGGACCTGATAGTCTTGTATTTCCCTCTTCTCATTATTTATGATCTCTCGTTTGCATGTCGTGCTCGTGCTCCTCGTAATATGTCATCCTGTTCAATATGTGCTGACACCTCCGTATGGACGGTGTCGATGGTGGCGGATGATCTAACATACGAACAGTAGTAGCGTCGCCGTCGCCCGTCATAGGATGGACTGCGAATAATATTGGTACTAAAAACAGACGCCATAGCTGTCAGTTGTCGCTGTTCCGGTCATTCCAGAATAGGAGACGTACCGAATCATACAGCCGTGTCCAGTTGGAACCGAGCGACGTGTCGATGAGACGCTGGACATGTTCCTCAACGGAAGCCTGAGTGAGCCCCTGTTGGAAGCGGTCCCGAAGCAGCTGAGCCGTCTGCTCGCCGAAGGCGGCGAAGCACGGCAGCGTCGAGTCCTTCTGCATCAGCTCGACCAGAGCTGGGAGTCATTGACGTCAGCGAGAGTTACACAGGACCCCGTGAACCCAAAAGTACTCACTGACGATCCGGTCGCAATGCTTGCGAGCGGCGTCGAACCCCTCCTTGAACAGCTTCCGGAACTCGTGGTACGCGGGGCTATCCAAACCGCCGAGGACTTCGATGTACTCGAGCGGGAGTTTGAATGGCGCTGCCTCGAACCCGATGTTGCCAGGGGAGTTTGAGAGCATGAACCCAAAGTCGATGTGGATCAGGTGCCCGTCGCGGTCGAGTAGGATGTTGCCGTTGTGCCGATCTTTGATCTGCAGGAGGTACGTGACGAGCGAGTATCCCGCAAGCGACTTTGCAAAGTTGCGTTGCGCGCGAACGTACTTCGCCGAGGCGGGGTCTCCGTAGGTCTTCGGCGAGGTGAGATAATGAGCGACGAGGGGTGGATAATCAGTCGTGACAGCTCACCGTCTTGAAGTGGTCGAGAAGGGTGACATGCCCAAGACGACCTTCAGCTAACCGTCGCGCGTACTCGGCTTTCTTGATCGAGTGTATTGAGACGGCATCGGTGATTGTCTCGACGAGACCCGACGAGTTGCCCGTGATCAATATTCGGAAACTCCATGTACCCTCCTCAGCAACACCAAAGCCGGACAGAAGGAGAACACGCACTATCGCACCCAACACTGGCAGTTCTCCTCCTTCCAGATCTTCTCGAACTCCTGGATGAGCTGTACCGCCAACTGCTCCTGTCGCAGATCGCCGCCAGTCTTGACGATGACCGACACGCAGTCCCAGTTCGCTGTAAGAAGCAATGAGCTAAAGCACGGATGTGGACTCGCTCGAGCGACATACCAAGGTGTCCGTACGGTGATGCTTGCCGTACGCGTGCCTTCGTGATGCGCATTTAGCCCATGTTCGCTTGTGACCGATAAGGAGTCTCACCTTTTTCGCAGCCCACGACTCGCTGAACACGACAGCGGACGGGTCCGCTTTACTCAGCTCCCTCCGGATGATACCCTCGTCTTCGGCCGACTTCAGATCACCATTGACAGGAGTGATCCTCAAAGATCCTTCGTTGACGCCGTTTTCGCGCATCCGTGCCATACGCTCTTCCTCCAGCGCAAGCATCTCCTCCATAATCCTATCCCTGATCGCTGCGGCCTCCGAAGCCTGCAGCTTCATACGCATGGGCATATGAGCCGAAGGCTCGCCGGAACCGCCAGGTGCGGAAGCTTGTCCGTTGCTGCCTGCCGGACCTCCCTGAAGCCAACTCGTATTGGGCAGCCAGCGGAGAGGGGCCCCGAGTATGGAGGAGTCGGTTGGAGGTGGTGGCAAGCCTGGAACAGGAGCAAAGGATTCTCGCACGAGGTTGGCGTTGAGCTGCGCGAGCATCACGGCGGCAGTGCGCATCCGTTCGGAGTACTCGTCGAGTGAAAGCACCCGCGCCGTTGACGGGTGGCCTTGCTGCCGTGCGGGCGTGTTCGGATCGCTTGGGGGTAAATGGGAGGCCCGCGATGGAGGGAGGCTGAGGTTGATGGGAGGGGCACGCGCTGCAAAGGGGTCTGGTTTGTCGAGTTGAG